TTCAGAAAGCCCGGAAGCGACAAAAACATGGAAGTCGAGAACTTGGGTGGACGGTGCCTTTAACCCATTGACGACGATGTGGACCATCGGTGGCCCACACGTCCTGCAAAGTCATAACATTTGTAGGTCTAGTATTTTTTTCCACACATTAATATTTTTTCTAGGTTTTTGCACTACTGGGGCCTATACGCTCCGTCTTTCAAGAAAATGTTTATAATTGTTTACAAAACAACCTTGCATTTTTTAAATAACCACAAAACCCTCCCACACCGAAAGTGTTGCGCAAAATCGCGTCGTCCCACAGTGCCGCCATAGAAAATTAGGAGTCGTCGTCAATGGGTTAAAATCAAGTTCGAATTTGCCCACCTAGCGATTAGTGGGGTGAGGACGACTGTAACAGCGCGGTGAGTGGACGATTCCCACCGTGATGCTTTCCACATAGAGCCACCTCCGCCTCGACACATCCTGCGGCGACTTCCCTAAGCAATGCAACGGGAGGAAACGTTTGCGGCATGCGTGACGTTAGAGGCACCGTACACCCAAATTTCGACCTCCATGTTTTTGCCGTTCCAGGGCCTTCTCATACCCCTAATTCCGAATATTAAGTTGAAAATCCGCGAAAACCACGAACAACCCCGTTTTCAGGACCCGCAGAGCGATTTCTTCGGTAAGGTGATTGATCGGACGCGCACGGAGAGACGGGGCGGGACGAACGTCACGCCCACTCCGAAAAGGGAGGAGCCAGCGTCGCGAACGGCCTGAAGCGATTTCCTAAGCAATTTTGTCGGTTCGGAAGCAACTTCAGGCAATGCGAGTTGGGCAATCATACAGTTGGGGGCCCCGCATCTGCTAGGTATCATAATCTCACCAACCCCAATTTGGGTGGACGGTGCCTTTAAGGCCTAAGGCATACCTCGCGCGATTCCGGTCGCTGCGCAATTTGGCACAACACGACTCTTTGTAATTCGTCGTTAGTGCGCTTTCTTTGGTCAAAACTTTTTGCACCAACTTACAAAAGCTACCCGCCTATGCGTTCGAAAAGCGCGCACGATAATTTTGTAGAAATCTGGCAAATCGCCAAGTCGCATGAAAGTGACGATTTGGCCGAATCGCGTGAGGTATGCCTTAGGCCTAAGAGGCTGAAGTGAACGATTTCGGGTGGAGGAGTATATGTCGCCGTATGTGGGAGGGTCCTGCGCGGATTGATTTTTATATGAAAGGGTGCGTATTTGTCACAAATGACCGCGGGGACCGCCCCTTTTCGGCGGCATATGCTCAGACACTCGTTGCGGCGGCGGGCGCGCCATAATAGAGCTACCGTGCGAGCGGCGCGCCCTATTTGAAGCTTCCGTGCGAGCGGCGCGCTTTAATTGAAACAGCAGTGCGAGCGGCGCGCCATAATTGAAGCTGCAGTGCGAGGCGCGCGCCATCATTCGCAACCGGCGAGCGGCGCGCCCTATTACGGCCGCCGGCGCGCCTATACGCGATTTCGCGGGAGACGCCATATTTGAATTCGCTCACCACCATTTGGCGCTGGAGCGCGAAAAAGAGAAAAATCCTTTGCTTCTCTTTTCTTCTTTTATGATACTTTTAATTTACTTGTTCGCTTTTGTGATTTTGTTTCTTTGTGTTTCTTGTCTCAGAATTACATTCTTCAATTTTGACTTTGCTTTCCATTATTTTCATTATTGCTCACTATCAAGCCTTTTTTCAAACCTTTTTTATGGTTTTTTCTTATCGATAGCATGTGAAGCCTTTCTTCCTTGCTGATGAGTTCCGGGAAAGGCTCGAATTTCTTTTCTGTTTTCCGTCCAAGGGCAGGAACGAAACGGAATTTGGTTTTTTCTAGATTTTTTTGTCTTTCTTGTGAATGCATACTTCGATTTTCTGTAGTATTATTTGTTTATTTATTTATTGTGATTTGTTTATTTTTTTGTTTATTTCTGTCTAAAACGTTCGCTCCCTTATTTCACTATTACTATGGACTATCCATGATTTTATAGAAAAGATGTCATTGTCTTACCGCCGAATGTTTCCACGAAGAGAGGAAGGATTACGAACATATGGAGGCATTTTTTACCATAAAGTGTTACCTTTTCTGTGCCACATCCCAACTTTAGAAGCTGTGCAAGAACATATATATGGACGAAGTCAGGAGAGAAGACAAATTCGTCTTCATCTCGCTGAACTAGAAAGGAGAGAACAAGCTAGAATCGCGCCCGAACAGGAAGACCTTGAAGAGATGGAAGGTACCTTTATACCTTACAGTCGAAAAGTTCATTGGCAACATTCGAAACTCCGATAGATCGCGAAAGCATGATTGACTCGAATAATGGTGAAGGAGATAGAGACGACTTGCACAGCGATATTAATTCTGAAGGATTTGCTTCTAGCAGCTCCCAAACAACGTGTATGTCAAGCATCTATGTTTTGTCGTGTTGCAGCACTTGACTTAGTTCTTACTGAATCCTGTTCAGCGTTAGAAGACCGTACACTATTTTACGCAATGTATGTGCAACTATTTGGATTATCTCACGAGCAGATTTCATGGATGGAATTACTAATGACCGTGCTTTATGGAAAGCCTCCACCAATAACGGTCCTTTTTTCTTTCATTTAATACGGCCGCATAACTATGAACATTGATTCTAGTATGAAAAAAATGTAGCCGTCCTGAGCAAACGTATAACCGAAGAATACGACCATCAAAAGTACTTCTTCTGTACCGAATGCAGCTCATCGATGAACGAGAAGGAGTTTGCTTGCAGAAATAGGAGCTGCACAAACTTTGGGTTGGGATATAACATATGACTCTCGTCAAGTATGCGCAATCTTGTTCTTATAGAATAGCAGTGAAGAGAGCCAAGCGCTTGCAAAGAACGGAAGTACACGTCATCAATATCATTCCACAACTAACAGATGTTCTTGTACGCGGTTTGGAAAAGATCATCACGATGCACCAAATGCTCCATAATAACAGAGTAATTCCCATTTAGCTTACCCTTACTTGTGTGAATGTTTGCTAAACAGGAGATTCAGGGAGTTCCAACAGAAGATCGTAGCGATATAAGACTATTCGAGGGCTATTACCATAGCATAGAAACTCCTGCCGAATTTGCTCAACGACGTCTAAGAATCCTTCTGACAATATCCTTGGATGGATTCGTACCAAAACGAGTGTCCAAGTTCGCCTATTGATAAGCCCTTCATGAACAGCTGCTTCAATAATCTATGATTTAGGAGAGAGATGTGGCCGCTTTACCTGCGAGTGGAAGGTTTACCCCCTCTAGAAGCCAACAAGTACTTCAATTCAATAATTGCGGGAGCCATCTACAGCCGATTGAAGCCCTCCGAAAAGATGATTGAAGTCTTGTTTAGCAGGTGTGATATTGTACCGGAGAAGAATCCACAAATCACTGTTGTTATTAGGTTGGATTCTGAGCTCAGAAGCATCCATAGCGCACCTCTAGAGATGGTAGTCGATGAAGTCACTTGGACAATTGAAGTACAATTTTACCGAGGCGTTTCTGACATGCCGGTATGCACTTGAACAAAACGAAAAATTTGTTCAACCCCAACATTTCTAGGCTCAGCAGTTACTCTACGGAGTTCCTAGATGGAACGCAGAGTACGGCTGCTCTAAATGCTACATCCAAGGGCTTCGTGTGAATAATCAAAGAGTATGGGTGCCTTCCGACAACGAAAATGCGCTCTTGCGAAGTGATGATTCGTATGCAACAGATGCAGAAGCCCGACAGTTTGGAATGAACAGTGAGAATCATGATACATACATTTCCAACGGCTGCAAACATATTGTAGGGAAGACATTCATGATGGACATCATGCTCCCCTCCCATTTCCTTGGAGATGCCCTTCACGTTTGCTCGGAAGGCATTACAAGAAACAGACTGCGAGGTATCACATTGTCATAACTCTAACATGTAAAACTTCATTTTTCAGATTTGTTCAGCAGCACATCTAGGTTTGAAGGTATGAGAGTCTCGCGAGAAAGCGTGGAAAATTTGAAGGAATGCCTCTCACGGATATCTTCCCACTCTTACTCAGCCAGCTTGATATTATCCCTCGATGATCTCCCTACATGCAAAGCAACCGAAGTAGACGAGGTATTGTTGATACTTATAAAGCATCCACAACTATTGTATATGTGAAATTTTAGCTTGCTTTTGTGGTTTTTCCGTTAGTGGCGGCTGTCGACATAGTCCCGTCTCCGTTAGCTGCAGCCGCTCTACTTGGCTACTGGTTTTGCGTTAGACTGATTCAAAAGACATCGAGTTTGACTACGTCCATCATCCAAAAGGCACAAACAATAGCCGCCAAGACTAGAGAGTTGTGGATCATGCTAGCCCCACAAACATTTACCATGAAAACCCACGTAGGTTCAACTCTACACTTCAAAAACATGCACACCATATTATCTTTCCAGTTTTTCTTCGATCACGCAATGGAACACGAGATCACGGAGTATGGGTCATTGTATCAGTGGTCGGCCGCACCCTTTGAGAGCCATCACCGTAGACTGCAGATCAAAATGGACCAATCCACAACCAATAGCGCCGCATGTATATTAGAGAGGTGCGCCCTTTATTCTACCATATTTCCTTTATATCAAAAATCTTTTATTCGATCAAGTATCAAACGCAACCCAACCCAACCCACCTCCACCAATGCCACCCACCTCCACCAATACCCACCTCCACCAATACCCACTTCCACCAATACCCACCTCCACCAACACCAATACCCACTTCCACCAATACCCACCTCCACCAACACCGATACCACCAACCCATACCACCCACCCACGCCACCCTCCCACATCCAAAACAATAATAGGCAACAATAGGAAATAGGAAAAAATCAGAATGACAAAAATAGTACGGTACAATAGTATCATGTTCATTCTTCCTATCTTCCTTTCCCCCTCGCGAGTCAAACCATCGTTATCGCGAAGTCGTTGTTGAGACACGAGTGCTGCTAAGTCATCTACTATCCACTATGTCACCTTCACTTGTTGCCGGTGAGGTGCATGATGAGATAGTGCGAGAACTCAGCAATAATGAAGCTGTAAACACATCTATCAAAAAGTAATGACTGTAGATTGCCAAAATGACTGTAGATTTGCCAAAAGATTGCCAAAATTATGGTAAAAAGAAAAGTGGACAAAAGCTGGTACGTACTAGTTCGATCGTGCGTTCCTCCTAGTCTACGGCCATGTCTATTATCGTGACATTGAAGTAATGCTAAATCGTGTACACCAAACGTTTGACGAGACTTGCACCAGCCGAAGATCTGGTCGTGGTGGACGAACATGCCTAGATAGAAAAACTAAAACTATTAACTTGCCGCACCTTGACATAAGCGCTCGGAATTGCCTCTTACTTCTTCTCCACAAAGGATTCCGTCCATTTGACGTTCGTGGGATGATGGAAAGGTCTTCTGTAAAAATCCAAGTTCATTGAACATCCAAAGATAGATATGAATTGCAAAGTGAATGATATAAGCTAAACTTAATCGGCTCACAGATCTAATGATGCGTTATAATGAATATAATGAATCGTATAATGAATCGTTTTCTGAATTCACAATCCCCCTTTCACTAAAGAGCTGCGCTGACTCGAAACTACCGAATTTCCTCGTGAACAATGCCCTCATCTCAACTATTGCGGCATGACATGAGGTAAACAGGACCGCATATGATAACGACGGCACTCTGTGAAGCCTAAGGCCTCGGACAGAGGATCATTGCAAAAACCAGTACGGATTCACGTTATTTGACTTAAGAACATGCCCCTTCACCACCATTGTTAACCACATTTCTACCACACCACACGTCAAATGATCCAAATCGATGTGACAATCATATGCCCTTTTCAAACCGGAACTAAATCGATCAACATGCACCCCTGACGCTTGTTCGAAGGGTATTGATAGCGGCGTTCTAACTTTATGGCGCCATAAAAAAAGAAAGTTCGAAGTCGTAAATGAATGTCCGTGAGCTTTCTTTCGAAATTACATAGCTAAACACAAAAGATTGCGCACGAGTAGAATCCCAATTCAAACAGCGTTTTAGCCGTTTGCAAACAAACATTCACATTCAACATTCACATTCAAACAAACATTGGCATTCACTCACTAAAACCGTGAAAAATGGATCAAAGATTGGATCACTTGGATCACTCACAAACTGCAACAATCCGCCATAATGAAAAAATATAGAGCAGCTCATAGAGTCCAGAAGATCTTCACAATGATCTTTCTCACAATGATCTTTGATACTTATTTGAAACACAAACTTCTGGACCCTATGAGCAATACTACGATTATATGCCAGAAAGTGCAGCAAACCAAAAGAAAGATGAATGACTAAAGTCTTACTCTTACCTTGAATGCGATGAGGTCCAGGTTTTTTTCAAAAAACATCACAAGAACGAGATTGTTCCAACAAAAGCAGCCATAAACCAACTACTTTCCCCTTATCCGCTCCCCTTACTCCCTCTCCTGGGAATCCGCTCCCCACCCTTGGGATAACGAAATGAAATGAAATGGAGTTTGGAAGTTCAAAAAAAAGTTTTTTTTTGTATTGTGTATTTGTGATTGAACGTAACCTCAACATTAGCGTTCAGACATCTGCTCGGAAAAAAAGTTCGAGCACTTTTCAATGAGGTAGCAGATGAAGTGGACGATGCGTCGTTTGCTTCATTGAAAAACAGGGTTGAAAACAAACAAGCGAATAGGTAGGCCAGAAATTTGTGCCCCCTACCCAACAGCGGTGAAATGGTTTCGAATTTGAGATTTCCCGTCGAAATCGAAATAGATGCAAACTGTTACATCCCCAAAAACAGTCGCATCTGCACCGCTGAGCTGGAAGAACCCGAAAAAACACGGATTCTTCGATCATCCGACATACCTTAGTTAGTTTATTCTCACATATGCTTTCCATTGAATGCTAGTTTGCGCTCGAGCATCAAGTTTAGTTGCCGCCTTGTGGTTAATGGGAAAGTTTACTCACAAGTACTGGAAAAGATCGAAGAAGACTAGACAGGATCTCGTTTACATGGGAAGCGAAGAAGGGGAAAGCGAGGAATTGATTTATGGCTCCATTGTTCTTTTCTTGTATAATCGCACACATAAGACTGTAAAAGTTTTGTTAGAACAATATCGTACGTGTAATGCTTTTGAAAACTTACATAACAGAGTAAATCATGCCGCGCATGACCCTACAGGAGCCATCCCACGCGAAGCAAAGAGAATTGCGCTTTCTTTGATGAGAGAAATTGTTGAGACCAATAATTTCTTTTGTCAAAAGATAGACGCAGTTACCCGCGTGAGAACGGCTAATCTGATCAAGGGACCATGCTGTATGGTGGACTACGGAAGTGCAAGTTTTATTTCCAAATTATGATCTCATTTTGATGTAATATAATGAAGATTTCATACGTTAATCGTGGATGTGAATTGGCAAAGTATTGATCTTGCATACTTCTCGCCTTTTGTTATCTCATCAAAACTGCCTTCTAAGATGATTTATACAGTTTTAGTATAATGAGCTCTCCTTATGCACCCACGAAAGCGCGCGTTCTACCAAGGCGGGTCCACGCCAAACCTCGAACACTGCTTGACTTAACATCGCCACGTGTCGTTCAGTAAGTCTTTGCATTATATGCCCTTTGTGCTTCATTGATTGAAATATTTCAGAGCGCCTGTTGTAGAAGATGTTGTAGCTGCTTCACAGGACGTATTTTTTGGGGTGGAACAAGAAGTTCCACAAGGTAGGGGAAGCTGCAAATTATGCCGCACATCTGATTTCTAACTATTTAGGAAATGTGTACGAACGCCGCGAGTTTTACGTGGAAGAGACCCGCACTCAAAGGCAACAGTATCCCCCTCTCCCCGCGACACTGCACGATTGCATCGAAAGAGGAGTACTGAACCTGGATAAGGCCGCGAAAGTTATTTTGAAGAACGTTAGAGAAGGAAAGTTTAATGAAGCCACCTATTATGTAAGTTCTCTAAACGCAACTGTACTGCTGCTGCATGGCATGTTTTGCAGGAGTTCGTTCGATCGGAGATGGCAGCGAAAGCAACACCCACGTACGGGAGCTTAAACCAACTCGTCGGACCGGACATAAATTTCTTATGGAGTATAGCCAACAGACTGACGGTAAGTTTTGAACGCTAGCAATGAAAATATAAGGTAGATATGTGAATTCAGGCTGAAGTAGGACGCGCAATCACCTCGAAATGTGTGCGCATCGTTAATGTGACTGAAAGGACAACGGCGCCAACTATACAAACATCTGTTTCAATCCTCAATTGCACCAGGTCATGGAATCTCGATGTGGAACCGCCATTTGTCAAGGTAATGATAATTGAAGCGATTCCACTCAAAATCTGGTTTCAGAAAAACCTCGGGATTTTGGGCGCGCGATGGGAGCCACGCGTAAAGGATCCACCTTACCAGCAGTTATGTTCGTTTTACCGTCATCTTCTAACGCGCGTGAGTCTCCAAATCGGTTGAATTATGCATTGCAATGTTCAAATCACATTTTCAGATAACGGATCCGCCAGAAAAAATAAAGGAGTACTCCATTCGACTTCACAGCAGGAACGGAAGAGACGACAAATTGAAAAGTTTACCGGAACCTGTAGAAAACATTTTGCAAGGTGGGAAATTCTTTTGTCTGTTATTTTTATGGGAATGCACACTTCAGATATGGCAGAGGACATGCTCGGTTACGGGCAAGATGAACTCAAAGTATGGCTTGATCAAGATCTCAGTAACTCCACGTAAGTGTGATCATGTACTTGACTTCATTGACAAAAAAAATATCAACATTTTAGTTTCTACAAGAGCCTTGGAGCGAACGAAGAGGAACGTAGAGCGAATTTGGAGGATTTGAGGAACGAACGTGCAGAGTGGCGTCCGCAGATATTCAAAGCACTTCAACTTGCATTGTAAGTTTTGGTATTTATACATTATTCGCATTTACATTCAACGTATATGTTTAGGCGCGACGTTCGCGGCTATAAATACGAAGCCGGCAAGTGGATTCCCAATCAGGTATGCTTTTGAACTTCTATGAACCAATTTATCCGTTTAACTGTCGATGCTTTCTTTAGCGACGAGGCAAGCGAGAAGTCAATGGAATGATCGAAGCAGTTCCCGAGTGCAGCAGATACGGAACCCAACTACTGGAAGAACCGGACGAGAACCTCCCGCCCAACGCGTCACCTCCCTTGCCACCACCTAATCCGCCACTCAATCCGCCACGCAATCCACCACCCAAGCGCAGAAGAAGATAGGAAAAGGAAAAGTACTGTTATTTCTTTCTATTAGTTTCGCTTTGTCTTGTTCCTTTTGTACAGAAGTTTTTCATGTCTTTGTTTAGTTTTTTTGCTTCTTGGCAATAACTACTTGTTGGTGCTATTTCTTCAACCGTCGCTAATTTTTTTCATGTTACCTATGCTCCCAAAGCGTCCATCTTTTCCATGTTTGGTTGTTGTTTCTGTTATTATTTCTGCTTTATGGTCTCTTATATGCTGTGATCCACGCCTAGTGATGACATAGCTATATTTGTGTAAGATTTATCTACTGATAACGAATAAAATGATTACCCAAATCACACAGACTGCTCAATTACACTAAAAGACACATTACAGCAGGAAAAAGAGCAAGAAAAACCATCCTAGAGAAGTAGCAGAATGCGAGCGGTATGCCATGTATTAGCGGCGCGCGTTCCATTTACTCGCGACACGCGTTCCATTTACTCGCGACACGCGTTCCATTTACTCGCGACACGCGTTCCATTTACTCGCCACGCGCGTTCCATTTACTCGCCACGCGCGTCCCATCTACCCGCGGCGCGCGCACCATCTACCCGCGGCGCGCGCGTAATTTGACGGCCAGCGGCGGGCGACATGAGGGGCCGCACGCACAAAGCGCGCGCGCCGCCGCAGCGAGTGTCTGAGTGGTCCTCCACCCCACATTTCCCCACAAATGGCTTTAGGTAGCCACGTAGGAAAATGTGCTCTGGAACAGACCGTAAAGTCTTGCGCTGGAGCGCGCCAGTTCTGACCTGCCACGACAGCACTAAAAACGCTCTCATCGCACCCGATCTTTTTGCTTAACATTTTTTGCTTATTAAAACCATCACTTTCAGACTTGGGTGATGTCCACAGGAAAGAGCAATGGAGAACCTGTTTCTCCTCGAATTTTTGCACCTAGCTCTTTGGTTTTTGACGACTCTCAGCTGTGTTTCAATAAGAATCACTTTGGACGGCCGGATTTCAATGTGCAACGGTTTATGAATCTTGCCAGAAGGTACGATTACTATGTTCCTATTTTCTTCTGTGCTTACTTCTCGTCTACAACTTTATTATTTCTGTATTGATTTACAAAGTGTAATCAGTTTGTTTCGCTTTTTGATGTTATGGTTGTTTGGTCTAACATTGTGGTGTGGTTGAGTGGATACCAGACACATGCCGTAGTTGATCCACTTGATCCACTTGGTCCACTTCGCTATTGGTTGAAACACTTGACTGACAAGTAGCGAAGCGGTACTTAACTAAATCCACTTTGCTATTGCTCAGTTCACTGATTTGACCAGTGGGGAAGAGCATTAAGTGGATCAAGTTGACCCAATGGTGTGTGTCTAGGTGCAAATTTTCTTATCACTCACTTTTGCCAGATGGACGAGGATGTACAGCATGGTCAAGGATAACTGTGTCATTTGCATCTGCAAAACGCTTTTCTGAAAAAGAAGAAGGCGTTTCTTGAGTAGAAATCGAACGCATGGCTAATATAAATCAGAGTAAAAAAACTTTTCCGTGTTGACTGATCAAATGTTGATTGTTTGATGCTTAGACCACAGCGCGCATTAGTACTAAAGTTGAGTCTTTGAAACCTCTAGATTATTACGCACTAGCGTCGCTGCCGCGATTTATGCGACTTGTAAATATCTGTAAATAATCCAATATATAGAAATGTAACGCCAATTCAAAAAACATCAGGTAGCGGGAAACCGCGGTGCGGATCCGAAGCGCGCGGATGCAATCTAGCACCTTTAATTACTGGTTCAAATAATTTTGAGTTTTCAAAAAAATCAAACAGCCGTGTAAGAAATTGCTGAAGGATGTGGTTTTTGGGACTGTAGGGCCGCAAAGATTTGGGGAACGTCCTAAAATTTTTCGGAGTGCGTGGCTAATTCCCGCATCATCATTTTAAAAAGTTTTTGTCCTCCCCCTTCCCTCAAATGGAAATCCTGCTACGCCACTGCTACTTACAGATTTCAAATGCATCTATAGCATTGTAAAACGCAAATTATGTGCTATCTGATGTCCAGCTGGCAATAAACTGCGCCTTATCCCATGTTGAAGTGTAAGCGCGAGCCGGCTAGAATGGTTGATGAACGATAGGCATCTCAAGAATTATTAGATGGCTGGTGTTGTAGTAATCCCAGAAATGTCTTAGTCCTCCGCTTTCCCGATTTGCACCATAGTGACCACCATAGTGACATTCTGGCTGTAGTTTAGCGTGCAATATAAAATTGGGCGATATGCTACATCAGTGACGGACCGAGGGGGGAGGAAAGGAAGGAAGTGAGCGCTTCCCTAGAGCGGGATGGACTGCCACTGCAGATAGGTATGAATGTTATAGTTATATAAAGTAATGGAATATCTCTGCCAATCATGTCAACGACTTTTATAGTCCTATTACTTCTGCGGGAGGAATGGAGGTTCAGCGCGGTGCACAGTACCCTGATTTTATGAATACAAGGCGCACCTTCTTCATCCATCAGTGCGAGCAGTTCCGTGGCTTCCGTGCGCTTCGTGAAACGATCGTCTGCCGCATGTTACCTTTTGCAATGGTTGGTGCAATTGGGGTCTTGTTGATAAATTTCTTGACGTCTTTGGGCTGATCAGTCTCGAAATAGAAACCCGCGCCTTGTACTCGTCAGATTAGAGTATTTTTCAAGAGTATAAATTATCTGAAACCAAACCGATGTTCTTTTCGGCTCCTCTTTCCCCTGAGCGGATACTCAAGCGCACACGATTACACGTGTTATGACAGCTTTCGTTTTTCAATATGTTGTGAATTCCATTTTCCTGAGCAGAATATCGTGATCAGATGTAACATATGAAAAATTTTCGGATGGCCTTTTGTAGGCGTGCTGGGCTGAAGCAAATACAGCAGGATCTTCGCTTGTACCTTAAGAGTGTTCAGCACTCCATGATAGAATTGATCAATGACGACTACGCAGACTTTGTTCATCTATCATCAAATCTGGTCAGTCTGCAAAGCGCTATAGATAAGATCGAGAATGACATGAATGTGAGTGCTCCTGCTTCCTTTTTTGTTCCTTTGGCTACAAACAATTTCAAGTTTATTAGACGTTTAGACAATATGGGCCGAGTTTGAGAGCAGCACCAGTGATGCTGTCAATACCGCTGAGCGTGTAGAGTCATTCTGTGTGGAACTCTCTCATAATAGATCTTCCCAGGTTACTATACTACACTTATCGTTATAGTTTTCTTTATTCCTTAGCTTGCAACTTTTCTTAGCTTTTTTTAGCTTTTTTTTTGAATTATATGTTAAATAGGTGGTCAAATGAGCTTTCTTTGTATTTGTATAATCTAGGTTGAGCTCCGTCACCGCATCTCTTTCTTGTCCGCGTTGCGGCGCCTCTCCATCTTGGTAAAGAATATGCCAGAGTCTGTAAACTCTTTATGGTCAGTTGTGTTTAATTCTTACTAAATTTGGTTGCATGTTATACCATTTATCGGAAATCCGAACACTTCTTTTATGAGCCGCGGACTTATCGTTAAAATTTAGGCTAGAAAAAGTTTCTTCCTGCCTTGTAGATGCAAGTTCCTACAAAGAACATCTGGTGAAGGATAGTCGTGAATCTAGGATGCTCAATAAGGTGAGATTCAGTGTACCCGTTTCATATGGTTCGTTAATCTGCGAACTTATATTGTCAGCTGTTGGAGAGATTGGAGACCGTACTGTGTGACGAAGGTGTGAGAAGTGCCAGCAGTGACTGTGCTTCTCTGCCGCATGTGCTTTCTCTTCTTGTGTTGGCAGACTGTACAGAATCCCTGACTGCTCGCCTCGTTTCTGATCTGATTTATCCAAAGTTAGTCCGCCCATCGAAGGACCATTATGAGATGTTGAAAGCTGTGTTTGCTGGAGTGAAAGAGGTGAGTTGTTGTAATGAAAGAGCGACATAGGCACGAATAACTCTTTCAGATGCGTTCCAAGTGGAGTGATCTTCTTGGGTCCAAGTACAGTGGCTCAGTCGAGGCATTTTTGGAGCAAACGCTGCTAACTTTTCTGCTAACTTTCATAGACAAGGTGTGTTTTTTTTTCACTTACTCCGACGAGGAATGTTGGATGTTTGATAAGAGTACGATTTTTAGTGCATGGGTACTGTTGCTGTACCGAGTAATACTTCCCTTTTCCACCGCTGCTTCAGTGCCACACAAGACTTCATTGAGAATTGGCCACCACATGCGCATTCAAGGTGTCGTTTGTCCCTTGGCCTTCTTTTTTTGATGCTATCCTACTGATTTTAGAGCAATGCTGAAAGCTGTTAGAGATAAATTCAATCTAGTTGTCTACTTCAAACTTGTCACCCATAAGCTTGTTCGCAATGTGGATAGCGAGATGGCCCCAGAGTCATTAAAGTTTTTAGATGAGGATGCGGTGGGTTTGCACCTATTGTAGTCGCTTTTGCGTAGCTGCATTCACCCGTTTAGCAACGTGAAGAGGGTGTTATTTGTTCGATCTCTTCGGCAATATTGAAAACAGTGGAAACTGTCTGGTCTGAAGATGTTTTTCTGTATCCAATTGCTGACAAGCTGTGGGACCTGACGCTACGATTATTAGAAAAGCATTTGGCTTGGGGAAGGGCACTTCTTGAGTGAGTTGCAGCTTTATTTGGTTATGTCGTGTACGTCAGATTCATGTCAGACCATTTCTCAGAGTTTCACACAACAAGGAGAACTCTGAATTGGGGAATGTGGAACCTTGGCGTGCATTGCTAGCAGTACGCCACGATCTCCACACCTTGCACTCCAAAATTTTCGACATGGCTCTCGAACAGTTGTGGCCAAAACTGGGGTAGGTCATGAAATAGTGATGTGACAGATTGAGGGATCGGCCATAAGGACCGGGCAGAGTAAAGCGTTTTTACCGCCTCGCGATTGTCAACAAGACAAATGTTACGAGTCCATTGCATGCTGTCCATCTTGCATTTTGGTTTTGGTAGTTGCTATTAGTTGTGTCGAAAAACTTTCACAGCCGAAATGCAAGATGATTTGCATGCAGTGAACTCGTAGCAGTTGTCCTTTCGGATGAAGTGCGAGGCGATAAAATCGCGTGATGTATGCGCGACCCTATAGACTGCCGGGAACTGTCAAACTACCCCGGCGATTTGTGGCCGATCTTCAATGTGATGTGAAGACTATGAGGGGAAAAGCACTGCCATTTTTGTGGCAAGTAGCATGGTCTTCTTCTCCTCATATTTGAAGTGGTCTGATTTCTAACATATCGTACGCGGTGATCCAGAATACCAATCGAGTGTTATAGTTTGAAATAATTTTAGGGACATGGGAGTTGATACATCCCTTTTTGGTCAATGCCTTACCCGCTTCGCTATGCTTGTTGATGCCGAATGCGTCAAAATCGATGAAGAAGTCACTCGATCAGTTTCATCTGCTCTCTCCAAGGTGAGATGAGTATCACGGGTTATTCTGTCTGCCATTAATGTATTTTATAGCGCATGCTCTTTCTAGGAGTTTGACGCAGTCTCTGATGTGCCGAAACAGTATCGATGGACAAAGAAACCTCCTCCTTCTTCTCACTCAGTTTACATTAACAGTGCTCACTCAAAGCTAGAAGAGTTTGTAACTGAGCTGCGGAAGAGAAATCATCCCGGTCTTGAAGACATGGTTCGCTCTGTTATTGTTGCATCGTACGGCCATCTGGTGACGAAGACGAGCGAGGTGAGTACGAGTGTCCTCAATGTTGTTTTTTTCTCAGTGCACCTTATTTCTCTCCCTTGAATCTTTTGTTACTTTCCTTCAAGTACAATAGTGTGTCCCATGTTGTATTTAGTCACTTGTGTTAGATTCTCTTATGACACGATAGTCGTATCTGACATCACCAAAACTGACTAAAGTGGTAGATCTGAAAAGCATCTTTCCAGAAGTTGGTGTTAGGCTTCGCGATTTACGTGCGCTGCAAAGTTTGGCCCAAACTTCACCATAATAAAAGATGCCATTATTTTTAGCAGATCATCTTTTTGGGAGCAGAAATCTGTTCTAAAGAGTAGTGGAAGGAATGTTAAGCTAGAGTTTAGGTTCTCGATAGCGTGGACGCCACAGGTTCGAGTTTATCTCGGTTCAAGCGAAAAGGAACGACGCTAGATGGAACCTCTGATGACGATAAAATCAGGACTCAGGTAAGAGATGTTAACGCATTATACAGGGTGTCCCAAAAAAATGTGCCTACTGTTTGGTTGTAAATAACTCTTTTGTAACGAAGTGTTTCGAGATGCTTTAGGCACCGTTTTGTAGAGCGAGGTTGAACTTAGATTTACAGTATGAAGCGGATCATTTATCACTCTTCATTACTGTAGGATTACGGTAAGAACTTCCAGCATATGGAACCATTGTAAAATATACCACCTAACAAAATTCTTTTCAAAAAATCTGAGAAATCGTGTACTAGGGTTTTCGCGCATGCTGATTCCATCTAACAACTTTTTAAGAGTGTTTTCAGCTTTTTTGACGGTGTATCTACATTTCTGGCAAATGCTGGGAATTGAGTTATTACGATTTACCGGGGTTAACTTAGGAAAGAAGCATCACAGCAAAATGGGAATTTCGAATTCGAAATCAGCGGCTCCCATTACCGTAGTGTAAGAGTTTCTGGCTTGTTTGGTTTCGTTCCGAGGCAGAGTGTAGCCTCCAAAGGCCTAAAATCTTTGTCGAAGTTCCTACCGTGATTCTACAGTAATGAAGAGCGATAGATGATTCGCTTCATACTGTAAATCTAAGTTCAACCTCGCTCTACAGAACGGTACCTAAAGCTTCTCGAAACACTTCATTACAAGAAAGTATTTATATTCAAACAGTAGGCACATTTTTTTGGGACACCCTGTATTATTACACTTTAAGCAAGTAATCTGTAATGTTTAGATATTCCGCGATCTTATCTTCTGCCACAATAAAAGTGTCGAGAGAAATATCAGCATCGAGGGATTGCCCAAACTTATTGACCGTTCGCGGCCTGAAACTATTGATAGTGGTGGGAACACGAAAACATCTTCAGCAGGGAATCAGGAGCTGTCCGCAAAACATGGTAACCTGTTGCATCGTTTTTTTTTGATTTTTCATGCCACACCACACTTACAGATGATTTGGATGATCAGAAAGATACTGCTCCAGAAGCAACTACTGTAGAACCTACCCATTGAGATTTTAGTTTTGAAATTGCAATGACATGTGATCTTAAGCACTTCATTTTCAATATTTGTTTTCACTAAGTTTTTGTTTATTTTTCTTTATTGACTTCTTCATACTGATCTACTGTTTTCACTGATTTTCTTCTGTGATACGGCTCACGCCGGCTTTGTGTGCAAATAATTTATTGCTGGCCAATAAATTTACTATGAATCTTTGTGTGCCATTCAGAGGTAATCCTATATTATATTACTTTACTGCTATGAGATTATCGGATGTAGGTAGTCAGTGTCCATCGATACTTTCTGAGAAGCAGTTGTATGTGCAGGTTGCAGTCCGAGGGTAAGCAAATGGCAACGTGGGCGGACATTCAGCGCCTCGTTTCTGATCTTCAGAGAGTGCAGCTTTCTCAGTCAGCAAAAAAGTTAGTTCCGACTTCAGTGGCGAACATACTTTGTTTATTGTTTCATTTGATCCTTCTTATTTTCAAAAAATTATCAGGCTCTCGGAAGCTAACTGCGTTGAGGTGGTGACGAAACTCATCCAGAGGTCATTGATTGATGTGGTGTTTACAAGAGATGGGCATTCGTACATCACACAGAAGCATCTTGCTACTGAGGTAAGGTTCTTGTCCACAATTTCTACACAAGGAACGAATTACTGAACGGAAAGTAGGTGGTTGAGTATAGCCAAAAATGTTGGATTCTGGCAGGGAGGTTGGATAGTTTATCATTGCTGCACGGAGGCAGAGCACTAGATTTTTTGTCTGGGAAAACTGGGAGATTCTGAGGTCCGACAAAGTCAGTACCAGCCTCTGCATTGAGCGGTTGAAATTAGAGAGTTCTCTTCCGCGTACAGGCAGTGTTGTGGCAAAAATTAGAATTTGACCGTATTTCTTGCTTTTCTTTCAAAGGCAGTGTCCAGGCAAAAACTCGATTCCTAGAAAATCCACTTACCGGGGGGTTAGGCAACGTTGAATCCGAAAATCCACATTAGAAGGCGCGAAAACGGCGAGAACATGCGTTTCAAAGGCCATTTTGAAATTCGACAGTCCCCGTCAATTCTGAGACACAGAGTCTCTGTGGGACCCTACGATTTTGACCGTGGAGGCATGACTCTGGGGTAGGGAAACGAAAGCCGCCAGTTTGAGACGCCTTTCGCGGCCAACTGGTCCTTTCGCAGTGTTGTTGCCCAGCAGTCCGCGGAGGCGGCCCAAACTGGCGGCTTTCGTCCCCCCACCCCATGACTCTGCCGCATAGCAGGGATTCGGACAGGTCGTAGGACCCCGCCCCAAGGCGTAAGTTCCCCCATTTTCCGGTCGTTTTTCTTGCTTTAGATCGATGGTTATGACGTCGCACTTGTGCAACGTTGTGGAGGAGTGCCACTCCCGCATGGCACTGAAATCCCAAAATCCCCACCTTGCCCGCACGTTGCCTTTAACGTTGTCAGCTCGCACTGCGATGGTGTTTACGAGGCGTCTAGTTCCGCGTGGCAAAGTTTGCAACAGTCTTGCCCGGGCACTGCGTTGGCGAACTACAGGAAATGAGGAAATTATTGAATACTCGAGTCAAGGCGCCTTCACCAGGATAACCTGGCACTCATGGATCCCTCAGCTTCCATTGTATGTTGGCACCCCTGAGGCCAACACACCGTAGAAGTGGCTTTTCCCGCAAAAGGATAGGAGATCTGTGTCGAGATTTTGCCCACTCGTGCCAACATAAGTCTTCACCATTCCCCATAAAGTCCGCTCCCGAAAGTCCAGCTTCTTGCGCGTTTTGAAAGTATCCGGGTTCAGCGCGCTGATGACCGCTTACAAAGGTGATTAGAGGTCGACTACTTACTCTGATACCGCTTCTGAAGGCATTTCCATGATATAGTGGATTTCTCTAGGTGCGAAATGAATGCGTTGCTCTGGGCGGACGTGCTCCTCTAACCGACATAGCTACCTCGTTGAATGTGGACCTTGACCATGTTGAACGAACAGCACAAAAACTTGTAGATGAGAAAGTTGGCTTTACGATATCGGGAGGAGAGCTTTTTGCAGAGTAAGTTGTACCTATCATGATCTAGTACTATGCGTCGAGAACTCAATATTACTTTGTTATACGTTATTTTCAGGGAGTACGTCACTAATCTTCAATCGGAGCTCCGCATTCTTCTCCAGGAACATGGTTTTCAAACTATTTCTTCGTTGTGCAAACATTGGAATCTGTCTCAGGTACATCCTTCAGTGCCAGCGTTCGTGAAGATTTTTCATGGGGTATATAACTAGTATACAATCTAACATATTTTGAATTTAGGAGCTACTTCGTTCTCTACTTTTGGACCATCTTTCAAGTGACTTTGATGGGTTAATAGAAGGCGACACTATATATACCGCCGACTATCTGAACTGCCGGAAAAATTTATTGCGAGCTATAATGGCATCCATAACTAAGTAATGAACGGCATTATTACTCACTATGAACGCATAGTAAATCGTTGCAGACCCTTACCTATCAGTGCAATACAGGCTAGAGTTGGTCTACCTGTAGGTCGATTCTGGTGGGCATTCGACTCTCTCATGGAATCGGAGGAGGTATTTGAGTATTTCTGCTTTGTAGAGCATGAAATTCACAATTTGATCTCGCCCACCTCGGGCGAACTCAAAGGACCGTCCACCCTAAGTTTGGGATCTTCAGCTTTTGGCAGCTTACGGTAGTAGGACCTTCCATCAAGCTAGCCCAGATCGCGGCGCAAAATGTCGCTTTGCAAGCGGGAAAAATGCTTCGGAATAGCGAAGAGGCATGGGACCCAAAGTTGGTACCTCCTCTCTTCAGCAATGTCCGCCCATCCGTGCGCGCCCATCCAATCACCGTTCCGGAGAACCAGTCTTGGGGTTTCCGGAGCGGGGATTGTCGGGGTTTTCGCGAATTCTCGACTTCACATTCTAAATCACGGACATTAAAAGGCCCCGGAAGGGCCAAAACATGGAAGTCAAGAATCTGGATGAACGGTGCCTTTAGGCGGTTGCGTGTCTACTGAATTTCTTGTTTGTGTAATAGTGTGACTCTTCCCCATTTCATGTGAAATGAAATACATGCTTCCCTTTACTATACAACATTAATGGGTAGCTTTCAAGATACCTGGAAGACTGAGCGGCTCTAGATCTTCTCCCAGTTGTACGTACATCCCTCACATACACGACATTCTTGTTCGGCTATATGTGCAGAATGCTTTTCGTCAACAGGAATACATACGTGAGCATATTTTCAGTTAACGCTAGAATGCATTTTTGCCGCATACACTGCTTTAGAAACATCCGTGCTCAAGAAACTTGGTCTGAGTGAAGGCTCCGGAACGAAAAATGGCCAAGTTGAGCAAATTCTCAAAGAGGGCAACTCAAGTCTGAAATTCCAAACACTGCCATCTATTTTGCTGTCGATGCCACTATTCCAACAGTGCCTTAGCGCAGTCAAGGGTGAGTTGTTGACTGCGAAGACAAAATTCTATAAAGTAGCTACTTGCTGGACAAGTGAATTTTTTAAACCAAATTTATTGTTTTATCCCGAGAATGGGTCGCGATATTTTGAAAATGATTCAATAAGTTAGAAATTTGCAGTGGCTTTCCGTTTGTGAATGATCAAAGTAATATTTGAGTGTTTCAAAAATCCTAAGTGCCTACGTGAGAAGTTTTCTGGAACGTGTCCTCATAGGCCCCTTCTTTCTAACGTCGGGGTTATATCCTTGGTGGAATTTGTTGAAGTAACGCAAAATTTCTTGTTGAAGGCTGTTATGTCTGTTTTTTATTGATATTTTTTGTCGTACCTCTACCTCCTTTTTTATTTGGAAGAATTGAGGGATTAATGCAGCTCGAAAGGAGAAATGTATGTTTCTCTGAATCACAAAAACCAAATTCTATTGTTGGCAGCATTTACAGTAGGTTCAAGCTTTTTTTAAAGGTGAAATTTGGCAAGCATTTCGAATTTTGGGATGTAACTGTACAATTTTTCTGAAAAATTAGCAAAAGGGACTTCGCATATTCCTCATCACCTGCATTCTTTTTTAAAGGCGTCTACCTGAGAAAATATTTGCGATTCATTATAATAGAGTAATGTTCAGCAATAATAACATAACGCATTGATAACATCATAAGTTTTCTCCAGTAAAGCTACAACTACGTGCTAATTAAAATGAAGTTTAGAAGCGGTACACTCAACGGATGTTTGTGACGTGCAGTCTGTGCTTCAACCTTTGGCTATACCTTTCGAAGAGTCGGACTTTGAAGCAATAGCGGAGAAGCTGAACACATACGAGGATGATTTGCATATCTCTGGAACACATGTATTTTCGGATCGTATCATTACAAAAACGATAGAAAGACTGAGTGACCGCATTGATGCTTGGGCTCACGAGATGGTACGACTCTTCTCAAAACCACGTATATATCTGAAGAACGACGGTTCTTTACATTCTTTATTACTTCAGATGGGTAAACTTGAACAGGAACGCAAAGGCACTCATCAACAGCAAAAGAAAGTTGAAGTGAGTATTGTCAGATGAAGTGGTATCCTGATGTAGATAAGTTTTTTTAGGCTGATGACTGGTCTGATACGAAGAAAAGTGGAAAGAAGAAGGGTGGTAAAGGCGGTGGTGGAAAGGCTGGTAAATCTAGTGCTGTGAATCGCGATGAATCTACCTCCACCGCCGTTGGAGTTCCACCTGAAGTGAGATAATTGCTGTCGTATCTGAAGCTTCACGCAACATAAATATGTCAGACACTGGAAGAATGGATAATTGCTACTGACGTTGTACCAGAGGAGATTCTTGACGATGTTGTTGAGCGGATTGGGTCGAAGGTATGTCGACCTTCTAAACAATGTGATCCTTTAGATGTTATAAACTGTAAAATTGCCTTATCGAATAATTTCTGCTCTAGGTAGATGACAAGATTCGTGCTCGTCTCACTGAAATCGCTGCTGCTCAACAAAACGCCGCCGCACAGTCTCAAAAGAAAAGCCTTGCACAGTTGCAGCAGAAAGCTCAGTCTTTGTATTCATCCATCTGCATGTTCGAAACGGCAAGCACGTCATTTCCTGGTGCGTGGATTCTGATGCATCCAATTTCAAATTCACTTATCTTATTTTGCAATGCACAAGATCTCTTTTCGTTAAGATCAATCTTTCCCCTCAACGTAAAATTGATCGTAGCTCAAGTTGTGCATGAAGGGTAGGAGAGATGCGGTATCACCCTCCTGTACACGGTGAAGCATTGAGATTGTAGATCTCCCAAATTCGAGTTATTGTTCAGTGTTAAATTGGAAGGTCTTGACTGTTCTTGAAGGCCTCATAACTAGCATGCATCATTTATTTCCGGATGTGTACCTAACATACCTTTTCAATCTGTAAAGTGAGTTCGGAGCGACGCTGCCGAACAATCATGGCCCCGTATGCCCGGAGCTAATTTTCAAGTACTCGTTTTATGAAAAATTTGGAACAATTTCTGCGAGCTAAGAATTTCAGGGTTTTGAAGAAAGGACTTCAGCCATGCTCCAGAAAAATTTACGAAGTCTTTACTTTCTAAGAAAATTTGGTTATGAAATAGGAGCTAGTATGCGTGATTTCATGAATAGAATAATCAGTTATCAATCTTGCACTAACCCGCGGCACATCCACTGCCCTGCACCCGCTACTGCGGAATGCAAGCTGAGGATATGAGCAAGAATTGGAAGACGTTTAGAGTGCTCATACAATGACTTCTGTTTCAGATTCGCTGCAAACTGAACTTCAGCAATTTCTCCTGCGTACCGTGGGTACAGAACTTGCCAATGCAGCGCTAACCTGTGCGTCAGGCACAGAAAATGCTGCGCAATTGAAAGAAAAGGTTAGTTCATTCTATCCATTATTATTCAAGCTTTGCAATTACGGTACCACTCATTGATTATCAAAAAACTTATCGAGCTTCACTGAGTTCAGAGAAATCCACGTCGCATAGCGAGTCAGACTGAATTAATTCTGAAACAGGGGCTGGAATCAGCTAGGCAAGATGCATTTTCTGATTTGTAGAAGGGGTAGTTTAGATGTAGTAATTGCACCTTAGGCGGTGATTTCATAGATTTTTGCATAGGTACGTTACTCAGTGTGCAATGAATAAGCACGTTGAGTAACCTATCGCTGATAGAGCCTAAAAAGATTCGTGTAATCTGATTCACTACCGCTCACCTATCGCATCCAAACGGGCACGGTACTTTTCCGTTATCCGGGCACATTTTTTGGGGAGTTCCTGTAAGATACGTGCTTGAGTCTGTTTTCTATGTAGGTTTATGAGGACTGTCTCCCGGCCACGGTCAGAGAATTAACATTTCTGATCAGTTTGACATGCTTCTTCGAAATCATTCCCGTGAGGTACGACAGCATTTGAGGACGCAAAAGCTGTTCAACTTTTTTACTAGGGCAAAATATACCAAAATGCTCATTAGAACACCTTGATTGCCAGCAGCCGAAAGTTTCTTCCTCTTTAAACTCTTCCCTATGCGATTTCACTTAGCGGAAAAAATGCAAACGAGGGCGTGTAGCATCTCGCTGCCGCTTGTTTCGACACTCAGCTAAGTCCGTTATAGGATGACAGGATGACATTGTTATGATGTAAATGTCCATTTCAAAGATCTCAGTCGAAACTCGTGTGAATTTCCATTGAAAAACCGGATGAATTCATTGTTAGCTAGGCGACAAAATTTGTAAAATTTATTGAATCAGAAAATGCGGCTCGCCGAGCTGACTCGAATGGTCCCCATGGATCCAGAAATCCCATATTGAGTTGAGGGTGCGACGTGAATTGCGCTGGAGTCTGGGGGATTTGGTGTCTTTTGGTAAATTATAAGCGTCGATGTAGTTCTCGACACAATTGTCCCGAAAAAGGGTCCGTTTTTTTCGTTAACATGTTTTCAGGTTCGTAGTCAGGACTGTAGGTTTAACTTCCATAAACCGAGTGTTTAAATGAAGTTTAAATGAAGTCTTTTGAATTTTGAGACACCACTCTCTGCTGGATGTTACCCACTATAATTTAAACACTAATCAATTTTATAGCAACGTGAAGAAACCATCGCTTCTTTGCCTTTGGGGCTTCGTGACGCAATAAGCTCATTGTTCACCTCACTCAAGGGAGATAACCTCGAAGCCTTCCATTCTGCCGTGTTCGACCTCTCATCACCTCGCGCTTTATCGCTTGCTTTGAGGCAGCCTGATTCGAAGTCTAGGTAGACGCTTCGTAAAGTTGTTTTATCTCTTCAATTTCGTCTTTTCCTTTGTTAGGACGGAGATACAACAGAATTACACTGCCGAGCTCAAGGAGCAAGTTTTATCACAATCTGAACCAGCTGCTGCGCTGCTATCATGTGTTCTGTATCTTTTGGCGAAGAATGGAAAACCGGTGACTGCCAGCGGACGTTTTGTTTCACAGCTGGTGCAGCAGCTGGATGGAGTTGTAGATCAGGTAAAGTCTACACTTTCAGTTGGATTTTCAGAGTGATGATGCAGTAGCGAAATAATCGGCATGATGTCCTTGTGAGTTACGCAGATGCGAGTATGGTAGATCAATGGTAAAAATGAGGTTGCGGTACCAGCTCCAATACGCTTGTTGCGAAAGTAAACTAGATTATCTATTCTGAAGGAGCAATATGGATTATTTAAGGAGAAAAACAAGGAACATTGGGTATTGAATGTACCTTTACATGACCATTCTTCATAAGTACTAAGAAAATTTGGCTAGTTAGGGGCTGATTGTACTCGGGGAAAGCACACTATCATCGTAATGCTTTCAGCAATTCCGTTCACACATCGACTTGCTTTTTTGAATCTTTAGCATGTAGGGCTTGGCATCCAAAACTTTTCAAAACGTCGATTTCCTTGTATCAGAAATTCATTCGATTCGTAAACGAAGAATGATTCGTACAATCTCAATGCTAATGTACTGCGTTGAGTCCCTTCGTCTTATCTGCGTTCAGCACAAGCGACCATACATTTACTAGAATAGTGAAGAAAAGCAGGTATGGTTTAAAATGAAATTTGTTAGCTTTCTTTGATTACTTCACACACCCTTTAACGCAGTAAATTTTTCCCTCATATGAGCTCAGTCTGATTATATTTTGCTTAGGAGTGTGGCCACACTGCAGTCGTATATCATGCTCACTCACTCTGTTATAAATATCCTCTTAAAACTAAAACCTGGGAAGCTTGGAAGAGTCTATAAATTATTGAGATCGATCTCAAGCTGGTGTCAAATTAGACCCCTGCTGATCATAGTACTTATGACTATTCAATTGTGTGATATGAAATGAATTGCTGCCGCTTATTCACATGCTTTTAGGAAGTGTACGATCTTCTCTTGTCGTGTCAGCGATTGGTAGTGCAGAGCCTAAAGAACAAGGATGATGATGTTGCGAAAGAAATGCTGAACGCAGACATCAAAAAACTGAAACAAGCTGTTGTCTGAACATAGTTTTTACGGAGTCTTAATAACTTGATGATGGAAATCCTAATCTATGGCTGTTTTGATGCTTCCTTGGAGGCAAACCTTTATATGCTCTGGATACCTTCGGATTTGGTGCATATCTTGAGTTTTTCTGTTCTGGTCGATTCGAGTACTATCCTCTGAATGTATTAGTGTCACGTAACTTTTTTCTCCTAGTCTTTTGAGCATTTGGGTTGGGTAAATGAGGTATTGTATGTTGTGAGGTGCTTACTGAAAGAGATATACTATCATACTATGGGCTAATTTGTTACATTTATAGTGTACAAACTTTGGCGTATTGCCTCAGGTGAAGATGTCATGCATGGTTTACTACGCTGAGGCACTGGAATAACGTAGTAGGCACTGTAATAACGTAGTGCCTTAGTAACTCTTTTATCTCAACTCTTCATAGTGACCTACAATACTGCTCACATTTTTTGAAAAATAGACGCGAATGTATGGACATGTACGGACATGTCCATACATCAGCGTCGCCTGGCCATATCTCGCTTCAGAGTGGACGAATTCTGAATCCAAAGCCACCATTCGATTCAGCTCGGCGCGGAGAATCTTCTGATATATTGGAAGTGGGGGTACGATGTTTTCGATATTTCGTTTTCAGTTTTCTCAATTTGTTCTGCGGAGGTCCATTCGCGAATATGTGAAGCGATGCCTACCCAACATAGAAGACTTTACTAAGTATTATTCGATAATACTGTTCTTGTAGATTATTGTGCGCTAAAAAGTAGGCTCAGACTTCTTTTCAAAGGAGACATAAGCGTTTTGGAAAAATCAAGCGTTTTTAAATTCTACTCGCCATAACTTCTTCGGAACAAGTATATTTTTAATCCGAAAACAGCGCCTTGCTCAGCTCATCAAGGCGAATCTTCTAATATACAGCATGTCTTTGATATTTCGATTTCACTATTCTTGAATCTTTCTGAGGACGTTTTTTCGCGAAGGTGTAAAGCAGCGAGCATTGTCCCGAGTACATTCCAGCATGGATATTTCGATAGCACTTTTTTTGTAGATTATAATGTGCTAAATAGCAGCCGCAGGTTTCTTTCTAAAGTAAGTAGAACGGCGAGTGAATTGTGGAAAAATCTTGTCGTCCCAAATTCTACTCGCCATATCCGCAGGTTACGAAGCTATCTTGCTAAGCAGATGTGAGTTTCGAAATCAGCAGGTCGCATAACCTTTACGAGCAAGTTTCCGATATGTTCGGGTTTTTCCATTTTTTCTCGTTTTCCATAGGAAGCTCGCCGATGGATTTTGGTCAAAATGTTGATGCTCTTGAATTGTAGGGAAACTTCGCTTATAGAGGTTTTCGAACACGCTCTTTACGAAAATCGTGGTCTTTGAGGATTACAGGGTCTTTTTGGAGAGATACGGTGAGGTGACTGTAACTGCATTACGAAAGTGCGTAATTTTGGACGCACTTCTCGCGTATATGTCAGAAACCTTGCCTGCTTGCTTTTTTCAGTCAAAGTTACTAGGAATTGTGCTATCGAATGGTGCATTACTCAGGCTCCAGTCCTTGAAATTCGCCGAGTTACGAGCCTACGAAAACACGTTCTCATGAATTTTGCCCAAAATGTAAAGATCGCATATCTCGTCGAAATTCCTCCGTGAGCGCTTGTACAACGCGCTGATCAATTCCGATAGTGCATCATTAGTTTAAATCTAATCTTGATAAAAATGTGATGAAAGCTTGTATTTGGCTGCCCTATGATTATAGGGGCCTGCAGGATCGCGAGAGTCGGACGTGCGTACGGCCATTGCGCCGCGCACGTCGTATGTCATTGGGTCGTACTCGATTTAGGCTGGATAGGTGAGATTTTTTTGTTTTTCTTCTCATTTCTCGCCTTCTTTTCTTTTCAGGCGGCGAACATATGTTGGTGCAGAGGAGTTTAAGATCTAGATTAAGGTGAGGTGCAGGATTATGCTCAATACGGGCCAATATTGTGGACTTTTCACCCCTGCTTTGAAGAATGTTGAGTTTTCTGTTCTGGCTGTCCGATTATGTTCGATTTTTCGTTCTGCCTGCCCGGTTACGAAACTCCGTTTTATTTGCAACGTCTGTTCTACCTCATCTTGCATCATGCGCGTCATCACAATCATAATCATTGTCATCATCATCATCATCATCATCACAAGCAATATGCAAGATAAGGTAGAATAGACGGTAGAAATAGAACAGTTTGCTGTAACAGGGCAGCCAGGACAGAAAATCCAACATCTCAACCAGCAGGCATGGAAGGTCTGCAATATTGAGTCCGTATTGAGCATAATCCTGCACCTCACCTTAATTCAGATCTTAAACTCCTCCGCAACAACATGTGCTCACCATCTGAAAAGAAAAGAAGGCGTGAAATGTAAAGAAAAACAAAAAAAACCTACAGGGCTTTTCAACCTGAGAGTCGTAAGTTTCGCTTGCGCGGCTCCTCCAACGCGGCCGCCTCGCTCAGGCCGCGCGCGGCATTTGCTGCGTATCGCCCGGATTTCGCCAAGCTTCAGTCGACGCGCAGCCAGCGCCACGAACGCTGCGCGGATCTAAGCGTGGCGTCGTAGCGGGGCGGGTGGGAAACTCAGGTTGTAAAGCCCTGTACCTATCTAGCCTTAGGGCCGCATGCACTAACATCCCTGCGTGGAGGGGATCGCAGCTTAAAAGAAAGCTTTATATCTCGAAACTCCAGATACCTGGATTTCACGTTGTGTACCTAACCGTAAGCATTCCTACTATCCTTCACTATGAACATGTTGAACAGGAGCGAGAAGCTGTACGAACCGCATTTTCCAGTTTTAGTATGATCCCCGATGATCCCCGGCGCTTTTCTTTAAAGTCATTTTTCTTTCTCCGAAGTTAACGAAAAACCTCCAAAGTTGTGCAGATTATCTAAACCGACAGTGCTAAGCATGTTGCTGATAAGAACAAATGATGTTTTGAAGTCATGAAATTTTGGTGATCCACAGGTCGAAATTTGAGGTTTACCGAAAATTTCAACTTTTCAAAAACTCATTTGTTCTCATCAGCAACATGCTTAGCACTGTTGTGTTAGATGTTCAGTGCAGCTTTGGAAAGTTTTCGTTAACTTCGGAGAAAGAAAAATGACTTTAAAGAAAAGCGCCGGGGATCATCAGGGATCATACAAAAGCTGAAAAATGCGATTTGTACAGCTTCTCGCTCCTGTTCAACATGTTCATAGTGAAGGGTAGTAGGAATTCTTACGGATAGGTACACTATGTGAAATCCAGGTATCTGGAGTTTCGAAATATAAAGCTTTCTTTTAAGATGCGATCCCCTCCCCAACGGGGAGGTTAGTGCATGCGGCCCTTAATCGACGCGACCCAGCGATATCAGGCGTGCGCGGCGCAAAGGCCGTACGCGCGTCCGACTCTCGCGATCCTGCAGGCCCCTATATAATTATCGGAATTATTTAAATGATGCGATTCATGGAGATGTACCCATGCCCCCTTTTGCCAGCAAGATGTTTTGATTTTAACAAGCAAACAAGGTTTGATGGTGGGTATATTATGTGACCCCACCAAACCAGTAAACCAGTGTGAGCCAGTGACTCCAAGTGAATTTCAATAAGGGTTGTAATGATGGATAACTCATACGTGAGCGTGATCAAGTTAGGTTATTGTAATCTATGGAGATTGCAATCATGCCAACTCATCTACCAGCAGAAGATGTCCTTGCAATAATGAAGCAAAGCGGGGCTCGCTTGGTGCAGTAATGCCAATCAACCTTGCCCGAATGATTCCGGGGAGAGTCCAATGACTCCGAAAGAATATCAAAAGTTTCACTTTTTGTAATTCATTTAAGAGCAAGTCAACAAGCTGTAATGATTGGGAAGAGAAGTAAATTGATTAAACCTAAACTAACGTAGTAGCAGGATACGGGTTAGTAAGACATTTAAAAGAAAATAATATTAAAAAAACACAAATTGATGGTTGTATTTGGTATGCATTTTGTGATCGGATAATGTAATCGCACATGGCCAGCTATAGCAATACAGATGACGAACTGGTGCTATTCATTACTATTCTCAGAATGCCTCAAACGTAAGAGATCAAGTGTGTAGATTCTGCGTTTAAAAACATTCGTGCTCTGAGATTGTAAAGTATCTGGAATCTTTTAATGAATCTTATTGTGTTAGATTTGGTGCTTTGAGCTCTAGCCACGAAATAGCTTTGATATTCAATTGAGCAACTGAATCAGACGCAAGCACCATATTCAGTATAGTGGGAGTCGTTCGACGAAGCGAACATAATACCTGCAACAGGCATCATACAAGCGCTCACGGAGGAATTTCGACGAGATATGCGATCTTTACATTTTAGGCAAAATTCATGAGAACGTGTTTTCGTAGGCTCGTGACTCGGCGTATTTCAAGGACTGGAGCCTGAGTAATGCACCATTCGATAGCACAATTCCTAGTAACTTTGACTGAAAAAAGCAAGCAGGCAAGGTTTCTGACAGATACGCGAGAAGTGCGGCCAAAATCACGCACTTTCGTGATGCAGTTACAGTCACCTCACCGTGTCTCTCCAAAAAGACCCTGTAATCCTCAAAGACCACGATTTTCGTAAAGAGTGTGTTCGAAAACCTCTATAAGCGAAGTTTCCCTACAATTCAAGAGCATCAACATTTTGACCAAAATCCATAGACGAGCTCCTGGAGCGTAAAACGAGAAAGAATGGAATAACCCGAACATATCGGAAAATTTGCTCGTAGAGGTTATGCGACCTGCTGATTTCGAACTCACATCTGCTTAGCGAGATAGCTTCGTATCCTGCGGATATGGCGAGTAGAATTTGGGACGACAAGATTTTTCCACATTTCACTCGCCGTTCTACTTACTTTAGAAAGAAACCTGCGGCTTCTATTTAGCACATTATAATCTACAGAAGAAGTGCTATCGAAATATCCATGCTGGAATGTACTCGGGACAATGCTCGCTGCTTTACACCTTCGCGAAAAAACGTCCTCAGAAAGATTCAAGAATAGTGAAATCGAAATATCAAAGACATGCTGTATATTAGAAGATTCGCCTTGATGAGCTGAGCAAGGCGCTGTTTTCGGATTAAAAATATACTTGTTCCGAAGAAGTTATGGCGAGTAGAATTTAAAAACGCTTGATTTTTCCAAAACGCTTATGTCTCCTTTGAAAAGAAGTCTGAGCCTACTTTTTAGCGCACAATAATCTACAAGAACAGTATTATCGAATAATACTTAGTAAAGTCTT